GCACTATATAAGCTTTTGCTTCATGAAAACAGATTCCAGGTGATTGAGAATGCACTTTATGTTCTTGCCAAACTATGCCAATATTTTTATGGGAGATTTAGAGACAAGACTATTGGAAAGTTGTACAGACACAAAACCAAACTTTTGGAGATGCTACACTGATGACATTTTTTTTTCTTTGGGAAGGAGACAAATATTCTTTACTATCCTTCTATAGACATGCAAACTCCTTCCACACTTCTATTAAATTCACCCTAAGTTACTCAAAATGTTTCTTAGATGTAAACTTAGCATTAAGAGGTGGTGTTTTACATACTGTTTTGTACCAAAAACCAACTGATAGATCACAATACTTGTATTTTCAAACCTGTCACCCTCTACACACCATACACAATATTACGTTCAATCAAACACTTAAATTAAAGAAAATCTGCTCTGACAGTGAGAACTATGGCTGTCACATTGATTCATTAAAACAGACTATGACCAAAGGAATTTATAAACAGAACACCTTTGACAAAGTTAACAATATTCCACATGGATCTGCCTTTACACAATCACCTAAAGTGTTCAATCAAACACTTAAATTAAAGAAAATCTGCTCTGACAGTGAGAACTATGGCTGTCACATTGATTCATTAAAACAGACTATGACCAAAGGAATTTATAAACAGAACACCTTTGACAAAGTTAACAATATTCCACATGGATCTGCCTTTACGCAATCACCTAAAACAAATTCCTTTCGTGTTTCACTGGTTATTACATATTACTAAAAATAAAAAAACTTACCAAACTTAGTGATTGACTAATATCCACTTGTACTGAAACTCCTGTTGTTTCTTTCAGAAAAAATAAAACTTTAAAATCACACTTAGTTCATGCTAAAATTATCTAACTCATCACTCAATGGAAGTCACTCCAGCAATAGTAAGTGTTGCCAAACCTGTACGTTCATGCAGAAAACTGACAAAGTTTCTGATAAAGACATTCAAGGATGGTTTAAAATCAATAAACACATTACCTGCTCTACAAAAAATGTAACTTCCAATGTGTAGGAAAAGCCAGAACTATACAGGAATGGTTTAGTAACCATACATCTTCAATCAAAATGTACAAAGAACTTTTGATCACAAAACACTTTAACACATCTGATCACTCTCTCGAAGAGATTAAACTGACACATATAGAAACACATTTTTCATCAAACACAAATGAAAGAATCTTACTGGATAGCACTGTTAAATACTGTAATGTGGGAATGACATCAATCTCAATCCTGGAATTGTTTACTTTCATGCATGAAACTCTTTAACATCTTTTTTACCCATCATCGCTCTTACATGTTTCACTTAATGTACAAATTTATTTTGTACAAACTAAATCTGACACCAGTATCTCTAGTTATGATTAGCTATTTTACATGGTTAACTCGACTGGAACATCTGGCTCACGTGATGTTGACATCTGTACCTATATTATTATATTGTACTCACTCAACTGGAACATCTGGCTCACGTGATGTTGACATCTGTACCTATATTGTACTCACTCGACTGGAACATCTGGCTCACATGATGTTGACATCTGTACCTATATTATTATATTGTACTCACTCGACTGGAACATCTGGCTCACGTGATGTTGACATCTATACCTATATTATTTTTTAGTATTAGTATTTTTAAAGTGTACGGTCAGGTCCAGGTTAAAACATGACTAAATCTCTGATGTAAGCCTACAGAAAAACCTGTCTTTTTGATACTGAGAAAATAACCAACTCAGGTCACTGACAGGTACTAGTTTCTGAATATTAGAGAATGGTTAGTTTAGAAGTTGAACAAATGATGTTTGTATAACTTTTCCTAAATTAAAGTATATTCTAATTAACATAAAACATTTTAAGAAATTATTTTACTTATACACACCTCCCTATAGAAGCATTAAAAGGAGGAAAAATATGGTAACTAAAAAATATAAAGAAAGTAATACTAGTATTTCTGCTCAGGTTTTTCTTTGTTATTATTCAGTGACTAGAAATCATATAAGTAATTTTTCGTTCTCTTTCCTTTTCATTGTTACTGGAAAGAAAAGATTTATAACATTTCTGTTAAATCCTGAATCTTAGAGCAACACAATTCATTTTCTAGTGCAGGTTAAAATGTTGGCTTACTTTAAATTGGTAAGTTTTTATGTTTATGAGATGTAAGCTCAAGGAAGTGCAATTTTACAAACATCTATGGCTGTGTTATAGTACTCAGTAGTTTACAGTTTAATGATGTTCAAATAACCTGATCTTCTCCAAGTTTCAAAGTGATTTTAGGTTTCCAAATGTCTTTAGATGTGCATAATAATTATGAAAACAGAGATGCTAGTCAGGTGAAAATGATAGGTTTACTATTTTCTGGGTAGTTTTCTTCTATTACAACTATTCCAATTTAACATATTTTAACTGCTCACAACACAAAAAAATTATTTTGTTCAGCAAACAGAAACCTCTTTTCCATCTACAATTCCTGATTCTATAAAAAAATAAATTAACTTGTTACTGTATTTTAAATTCACTAAATCTCGTAATATTTATGCTAAATGCTATTTCTTAATTCAGCAGCAAAAATGAGTTCTTCATAGATATTTAAAAAATAAGATTTTCAAATCCCTTCAAATTGAGAGTTTACTTCATTGATTTGTTTGTGGCTATTAAAAGCTATAAAACTGATGAGCATACTCTTCATTGGAGTAAGCTATTTTGACTCATTAAAAAAAGTGTTAATAACTTAGTATGTCCCCAGAAAATACAGTTAATTTATTGTGTGTCCATTAAACAAATTGCAAAAAAAGAAAAAAAAAGATTTATTTGCTTAATATTACATACTAATGCACACAAAAAAGGATAAAAAAAATTCAAAATTACCCCAAAACTTCAAACATTTACTATTTTTTTTCATACATTTACACTACCCTTCTGACTTCAAAAAATCTTTTCAAGTAGAAAATCTGACCTCCTGTCATACAGACCAGAACAATAGCTTCAAAGAAAGCCCACAGTACGACCCGGGAGTTGGTGTTTTCATTGACTACAAAGGAAAAACACAGTCATGACTTAATGGTTATCAAACCATTAACTAAACTACAAATTTAAAAATAAACTTTTCATGAACTAATGGTCTTCTGCATGTAGTAGAATACTTAGTTAATACCTAATAATGCATGTAAAAGTTCAGTCACTAAGAAGATGACAAGTAAATAAAGACTCCACCTACTTGCTCGGTGGATGCGATCTCTAACAGCCATATATTCCTGTTCGTGTTTCACAGCAGTCAAAGATGTTGACAGTTCCTTTATCATATCCTCCAGTTTGTTCTGGTGAGCTAATAAGAAAAAGATCTGCCATTTCACATTCTCCTTTTTTTTTAAAGCAGTTACACATCATTAAGAAAAAAAATCTTAATTTTCCAATCGCTTAACTTCCTTCACAATACTAATATACAGTAGTCACATTTAACATGTTACATAAATTGTCTTCCTTTCTTTCAGGATGTAGTATATATATTCTATGTTAGTTCATTATGTTCACAATACTAATATACAATAGTCACATTTAACATGTTACATAAATTGTCTTCCTTTCTTTCAGGATGTAGTATATATATTCTATGTTAGTTCATTATGTTGAACAGTAGTTTCAATTTATTATAATAATACTAAACTAAAGAGATGTTAAAAATTTGTAGCAACAGGTTACTGGTTATTTATTATACAGGGTAACATTAAAATATATTTTTATTTAATAAAAAGAAAGACCTATATTTACATATCATGATTACAGAAAACAAAACTGGTGGTATTTTGACATGGTTTGACTTAATAAGCAATGAATAGTAGTCTATTTCAGAATAAGCAAAAAAAGAGTGTTTTTTTACCATCATTATCCTGTTCTTGACCTTTTGGTGTATTCCCCACATCCATGGAAAACATCACCACCTTTGGAGTCATGGTAGACATGGCATTACTGAAGCAGTATGTGTAAACACCATCCATGTGAGCTGCAAATGTATATTTACCATTGGTCTCTCGCTCACCTTTATAGATCACCTTCCCATCAGGCCCAGTGATCTGTAACACCACAAAATATTTACTTCAGTTATCCACACTGTGTAGTAAACTGTACAAAAAACTTTTTACATCATTTAATTTCTTAGAGCAAACATGCCTAATCTCTCTTATCTATATTCCTTCTAAATGTTCTAAAATGCTATTAAAGGATGTAGCATTACTGCATAAAGCTAATAGTTACTCTTATCTATATATCAAGAGAATCAGATGAAACTGAAATATGCAAGCTTTCAACAACCAAAACTAAAGCAAAATCAGGCCATTATTATCTTTATGCTCGTATAATGCTTTTTGCTTGTTATGAAACACAATACCAAAGATCAGAATTTGTTGTTGTAGATTTCATATTTTAAAATATTATTTTGGAACATGTGTATGTTCACTTTTTACTTTACCAAAGATCAGAATTTGTTGTTGTAGATTTCATATTTTAAAATATTATTTTGGAACATGTGTATGTTCACTTTTTACTTTACCAAAGATCAGAATTTGTTGTTGTAGATTTCATATTTTAAAATATTATTTTGGGATATACATCTTTAATATTGTCTAAATTACAACTTAAATAATATATTCATATGTGCTAAAGTAGAAATGGGACTGGTAAAGTAGAAATGGGTCTGCTAAAGTAGAAATGGGACTGGTAAAGTAGAAATGGGTCTGCTAAAGTAGAAATGGGACTAATAAAGTAGAAATGGGTCTGCTAAAGTAGAAATGGGACTGGTAAAGTAGAAATGGGACTGCTAAAGTAGAAATGGGACTGCTAAAGTAGAAATGGGACTGGTAAAGTAGAAATGGGACTGGTTCTTTTGTCTATTATAATAAGTACCCGTGCGTATTTCATAACTGTTGACGCGCATGCAGAAGAGTGCTTTTTTGATAAAGTGTCAACTGGCACAAAACTGGGTTTAACATTTGAAGTTGCAGAAGGAGGATTTTTGGATGTTGATGTAAAGGTAGGCTTAGTCAAGTGTAGTACTACTAGTGGTAGAACGCCCTCGAATTTATGAAAGAATTTAAGCGTAATAAAATTTTTCATTTTGGTTATTGTTGCAATGGTAGACCTAGCTGTAACTCAGATTGTCATTTACCTGATCCATAGCATTACATCCATTCTATAGACATTTAAATAATGTTGCTAGTGCAACTACAATCAAGTAGTAGTAGTGGCTGGAAAATGTGATACCTGTTGCAGACGGAAAACGATTATAACGTAAAGTTAAGCATTAGATAAAAACTACCATTAAATAAGTTTTTCTTTGGTTTTGGAATTCGTGCTGCGAATGAAGTAAATGAAAAATAAACCAATGGAATTTGAAATAAGTTTAATTTAAAAATAGCACTTAGGGGCTAGACAGAGTCACAATTTGAATATAGTCCAGTCATATAATGCAGGAACTGTGTAAGAGTTTATCAGTACAATAGTTTTTGTAAATGCTGACTTATGAAGTATAGAAATTATGAATGAATGGCTATGTCTTTATAAGTTGGTTCTTAACGTAATATAACATTAAAAGGACAACAAGGGATCTTTTGGTCCATCTTATCCACAAAATTATACATTAGAGAAAACAAAACATTCAAACATATTTTCCTTAAATTAATTGTATCTAATGATCTTAGACATCTGAAGGCAACTCATTCCAAAAACCAGCCTCTCTGTTAGAAAAGTAAGGCTGTTTTAGCTGAAGATGACTCCTTCCTTGTGTCCTCTCTTACCATTAAATATAAAAAAAGATGATGGATCAACAATATGTATTCCGTTTACAATCTTAATTAGATTTCTACCTCTTCTGAACCCTTTCCAACAATTCAATGTCCTTTCTAAGGTAAGGAGCCCAAGACTGAACAGAGTACTCAAAATGTGACCTATACAATGACATTATAATCTTTTTAGTTACTATTCAGTATTTCTGTAGATACAACCTAAAATCTTATTGCCCTGCCACTAACAATAGTAAACTGCTTGACTTTAGAGACTGATGAACCAGAAAACCAAGATCTTTCTTTTATCATAACACTGTTAAGGTTATTTCCATTAAAACTATATTTGTAATTCAAATTGTGATATCCCACATGCATTTAATATAATCAAAAGTCATCTGTCATTTATTTGTCAAACTCGCCAAATAATTAAAGCCTTCTGTAAATCAGTAGCATTTTCTTCATAGCCAGCAATGCCCAAAACTTTATCATGTCATCAACAAATCTAAATGATCTATTCACCATTCAGGATTTCATGTATCGTTAAGTGTTTACCAGTACAATAGTTTTTGCAAATCCTGAATTTTGAAACTTAGAATTTATGAATGGATATGTTTTATTAGTAAAAGTTAAATAAACAGAATTGATTCTAATTTATAATTAGTATGTTGTGGTTTCAACTTAGCAGTTTAAAATTATAGTACAAATTGTGCTGTTATTTGTTTATTTAAAATATACGAAAAAGAATTAAAGATACATTACATGGATAGTACTTAAAATTAACGAACCTAAATGTGTGCAGTTAAGGTGATATTTGTATGTAAGCTGTTGAGTTTATCTCGACTTTAAGAGAGCTAATGATAATGTACTGCACAAAAATGTAATTGATAAGGAGGTTCTTGTGGTATAGAATAAATGAGAAGGAGATTTAAAACTTGTTTACAAGAAGAGAGTAATGATAAATATAGACTTCTTTGGTTTATTACATTTATTTGTTTGATGTGTGATTCTACCATAAGTTACTATACCAGCCTGCACGGTGTGAAAAAATTTTATCAATAATCTATTCGGTTAGTTCTAAAACCTAGACCAGATATGTCATTAATAGACTTACATGGTTACAAAATAAATATTGGGTGTGAGATATATATATCAGTTCTATGTTAGAATTCACCAACAAATATTGGTGCTAGATTTTGTAGTTTGTGAGAGAATTTTGTGAGAGACAACGTAGACTAAAACATGGTTCGTTACATCTGTACTGGGACTCTTTCCTTTGTTATGTAGATGAGTAAATAGCAACAAAGGTAGTAAATTAGCTAAATTTGGTGCCAGGGGTTTATGTTGAGGAGAAAGTCTTCTTATAAAAGGAAGCTTGAGAAGTGGAGTGTTTTTAATATTGAGAAATAATGTATTTTGGTATATTGATGATGGAGTGAAAGAAATATCTGACTGTGGTAGTTGAGAAGAAAAATGAACTTGTTACCTTGATCAATATTTACAGACTTGTTTTTAGTCATGGCATAGTGGCTCATAGAAAGACTCTTGAGTTTTTTTGGTTTTTTCCGTGTACAAACTTTTAGCTCATAGCTCTGTCATCTCTTGACTGATTTGAGATCTAATTACATTTTGGACTTAGGGGGTCAAACTATTTTGATTGATGTATTTGACCACGCCCATGTTCTTGTAGATTAACTTACTCTAATCCTGCCTAAAATAATTTAAATTTTAGGGTAGGCTGGTAGAGATCCTGATGAGTAATAAAATTGAATTGAGTATACACGCATCCCATACTTGGTATTGCTGGTGCACAGAAATATAGCTAATAAAAAGGAAAAAAAAAGGTCTCATAGAATAATTTACTTTAATCATGCCTAAAAGAATTTGAAGTGCAACAGCTATAGAGGATTCCCTCTTGTTTAAGTAAGAATGTTCTAACATTATATAGATCAGTAGCATATTTGGAGTGTTATGATCAATTTTTGTCATCTTTATATAGAAAGGAAATTTTCATCTTTTGGAAAGGGTACTAAGATGGGCTGCTGAAATTATTCCCGACTTAATTAAGTTTAACTATGAGGAAGATGCTTAAATAACAAAGAGGGTGGTTGGATATGTTTCATACTTTTATAAACAATTACAAGTAATTTCCATCAAAAAAAATACTGAAAAAAACATCAGACCAGTCCCATTTCTACTTTTTTAAAACACATAAAATAAAGCTAAGCCCAGTTCCCATTGCCAAGTCTGAAGTTTATTTATTTATTTTACTGGCACGTCCATTACATTTCTATTACCATTAATGCCACACTTTATACAAGACAACGCTTGTTCCGAGACGAACATACAGAGAGTTTTGCCAACAAGAGTTCTGACCTAGTCGGCTGTGATTGGCTGGAACTGAAAATGTGATTCGCACCAGCCAAGTTGTTACGTACTTAGCTATTTCTAGGCTATAATGTTGACAGTATAGGAAATTACGCGTAGTGGTTGTTCAAAGAGATAAAAAGAAGTATGTTGTATGTCAAACCAACAAGGAGTTAATAATATATATATATATATTATTTATTTATTTATTTTTTTAATGTACATACTGTTGTGGACACAGCGTTTCGGGCAATGTCCTTCTTCAGGTATCACTAACTGAACAGTAAATCCATAAACGAAAACTTTCTAAATCGCAGGTCGCGTGACAATGTAACAAATAATTTGTTTGTTTGTTTGTTTTTAATTATGCACAAAGCTACACAAGGGCTATCTGTGCTCTGCCCACCACGAGTATCGAAACCCAGTTTCTAGCGTTGTAAGTCCGCAGACATGCCGCTGTGCCACTGGGGGGGGCTGTAACAAATAAACGTGTATAATAATGGCTAGAGACGGCTTGAATGGGTAATGAAGAAAAACTTTAATATAACAGCAAATGTACAACGTTTCGACAAGGTTTTGTCATCATCAGGTACAAGTAATTTACACTGACACGGATATATATATATATACAGTATTGAACAAAGAAGTCACATGACCGGAACTGTTGTGAAGA